GCACGGGGCGAGTGTGCATGAACCTAGCGGCGCGGAGAGCCAGGATCGAGTCTCACGTCTGTGGGACTCTCAAGGTCGCTAAGCGTGAGGGTGCACTCCGGGCCACACCCCGGACCACGCGTGCTTCGAGCTTCGAGAGGAGGAGTCCGTCTTCACCGTCGGTCGGGACCTCGGCGGGCGGCGGCGAGAAGAGCCGCTTCGAGGCTCTGACTGAGGCTGCCGACCGGCTGCTACGAGCGGGCCGGTTTGACATCTACTCTGAGACGCGCGCCACGTTGGCCGAGCTGGCGGGTGGCGGGGAGGAGCGCGGGGGGGGCGGCGGCGGCGGCGGAGGAGGCGGAGGCGGCGGAGGGGGAGGAGGAGGCGCGTTCGAAGCGGAGTACAGGTCCTCGGCACTCGAAGAAGTGTGACGGGTACCTGACTTGACCTTAGGAGGCGAGGGCAGCCCTCCGGGGGGAGTGACGGCAGAGGCGCACTCGTGACACACTCACTCACACACACACACACTCACGCACACACTCTCTCACACACGCACTCTCACACACACACGCACTCTCACACACACGCACTCTCACACACACCGACTCACACACACGCACTCTCACACACACTCTCACACACACGCACTCTCACACACACTCTCTCACACACACGCACTCTCACACACACGCACTCTCACACACACTCACTCAGGTTGACCTCACTGCTCACCTCTCACCTCAGGCGCACTCGATGGCGCTCGCGGGCGGGTTCGTCCTGGACGCGGGCTCGGGGTGCTACTACAACGCCTCGAGCGGCCTCTGGTTCGACGCGCGGACCGCGCTGTACTGGCCGGCGGCGGGCGGCGGCGTCTACTACCGCTGGGACGCGGACGCGCAGTCCTTCCAGCCGGTGGAGCAGGCCTTGGAGCCGGCGGAGTCGGCGGGAGGGGAGGCCAGCGGGGGGGGCGACGCGGGCACGGCGTGACTCTCCTCGCGCCCTCAGGGGGCCCTTCGCGTCGAGCCCGGCGCACGGGGCCCCGCCGTCTCGTCCACACTTTGTCACTTCTGCACTGTCTGGGCGGAGCGGCTCAACGACCAGGGCACCCGCCGTCCGGCCCGTGGCTCCCCCCCCGCCCCCCCCCCTCGCCTCTTCCGGAGTTATACGCGAGTACCACGCATGCCCCAGCACAAAATACAGTACTAGAGAAGTACAACGCGGCGACGGCGGCCTCAAAACCCCCCCCCGTCTCACGGGGGGGGCGCTCAACGAAACTATCCCCGCTGCGTGCCCGGGCCGCTCGCCCCGCTCCCCGCCCTCCGGAGATTGAAAGACGTGACATGGCCCACATGCGCCGTGGAGCTCGAGACACACCCCCCCGCCCCGCGACTGTCGGACAATGATTGTTCTCATGCGGGCCCGGGGGCGTCACAGAAAGTAGTCGGGCGCCCTGCGCGAGACGTGCGGCTCTCCTCGCCTCGGCGCCGGGTCGAACTGGATGAAGTTGTACTTGTGGTGCTCGTCCACCTCAAGAATGGCGGCCTGGTTGCCGCAGCGGTAGCAGTAGTTCGGCGCCGAGAAGACGGTGACGACGTTCCGCTCGTGGCACCACGTGTAGCCCTCCATGGTCAGCTGGTGCGCGCGCGCCACAAGCCTACGTACTGAATACGCCAACGTCAGGGCGGGAGCACGGTCTTGTGCAGCGTCTTCAGAGCACCGCGGGAAGACGACGGAGAAGAGTACAGTGAATACAGCAGAATACGGCCGAAGACGGCAGAGTGCGTCTCCTCTGGAGTGCTGGTTGGGATACACATGAACACGTACTCCGCTTCTAGGGCCACGAGCATGAGGCCGTTTGTGTGGTTGAACTGCTCGGAGATGTCTTGCCCGAACGTGTAGCCCGCGCCGCGCGGCGAGACGCCCCACCTAGAAGGTTCCTAGAAGGCTCCCAGAAGGCTCCTGGAAGTAGCCCGCGCCGCGCGGCGAGACGCCAGAGAGAGAGAGAGGCGGGGGGGGGGGGCCTAAAAAA